AGTTACATGGGTGTGACTGTGAAACTTAATAACACAATGAGGTAAGAAATGTAAGAATATAGTGTTTTTGGTCTATCAGATCTTGCTTTTTTTAGTATGTTGAAGCACAAAAAATGCAACACTCAGGTCTAACTGATTTAATAATATATTAAAAGCTCAAATATCAATCACAATCACAGAAAATGTGAACAAAACTCCTGAAGAGTTTTCTGTATGAAATGTGACACACTGTGCAGATGAAAACATTGGAAAGTTCAAATTCATGGTGATATGCCAGAGCATTAACAGAGTCCTGACAGTGATGATGGATAGATCTGATCACCTCTGGGCAGATCGCTGTGAGGTGTTCTGCCACTCTTCTTGCCAAAGGCATTAGTGTGTTGGTCCCACAGACATTGTATTGGAATCAGGTGAAGGGGAAAACAAGATCCCAATTTTTTTTCCTGTAGAGACTGATAGTCTAGCACTAGGCAGTCTTGCATTACTTTGCTAGAAAATTGACACTTCTGAAAGCCGTTTGCAGAAATGGAAAAACTGTTGGCTCAAGGACTGCAGCAACCTCTGAACAGCAAGGTTGCCCTCAATCACCACCCTGTGAACACAACAGTCAGCATAACGCACACCACAAAGTTTCCACACAAGCTGTACTCCATCAGGCCTATCATGAGCAAAACAGTACTCATCAGTAAACAAAATACTCCACCACCCTCCCTGCTACCACCTCAGATGTTCTATGATGATTTAGCCTCTCAGGTGTCGACACATTGCTCCTGAACACTCTCCAAGAATGCAAATTATTTTCATACAGATGGAGAATTACAGTTATTGAATCATGCCAAAGCATGATAAGGAAGACCCGATGATCTGCATTACTGAGGTAGGGCCTGATCATATCTTTCACTGTCCTTGCATTCATTAAAATTGGGTCTTTCTGAATGCTATTTATCCTGATGCCAAATGTATTTGGTGTCAATTTTAACTCACCTCAAAAATCCTGAGCACATGGAGGATTTATGGAATCACATGTTTTCAGTTCAAGTTCTTAACCAAAATGCAGCTCCACACAATCAATAAAACTTGCTGCTCACTCTTTAAAATGTCAATCACATCATGAGCTACTGACATAATACCTAGAGTGCTGCATTTGTACAAAAATTCTAAGCAGAGAAAGATGTGTAAGAATTCTATACTTCCTAAAAAACATTAGAAGATTAGAAGAGCTCATTAGAATTCCATCTGAAAAACAAATCCACTTTATCCCACATCTATCACATATTCTCATTGCAGTGCACCTTACGAAATATGATAAATATCAAATACCATCTGTAGGGAATTTTAAAGAAATTATTTTTTTCCACAAATCTTAAGCACCTTTAGGGCACAAATTTCAGTGGAAACAACCTGCGGCCCCCTTCTACCCCTCCCCCCCCCCCAACACCCCTGCAAAATACACAAACACACCTTCTGACAAACTTTGAAAACCTCTCTTTCTGCAGGACCAGGAAGTAAATATTTGTAGAGTTGGAACTACTTGACTTACTTTTAAGATCTTTTTTATTCAGTGGAAATTACCTTTTAAAAGTATAGCTAAAGACAAGGCTGTTATGGTTTCTTATCAAAGGCGGAAAAGGACTTTGCCTTGGATGTTTTTATATATAATTTCCTACTTGTTTTTTATTTCACTAACAATAGCAAAGCATTTGCTAGCACAACATTATTTTCTAAATTATCAAATAAAATACCTTTAGTTATAAAGTCCAAATGTGCGGTCTGTTTCTTTTTCCTTCTTCTAGCACAGTTACTACTGTGTAGAAACCTGTGTATTTTTGTTTTCAACATTACTTTTTATGTCTTTTTCTCTTTCCCTGTTCCTTGGCACTGTTGCTTGTCATTTGGTGCTTTCTGTAGTACATTTCAACAGAGAGAGAGAAAGTGAGAAAAAAAGCAGTCCTTTCACAAGTTTATGCTTGGCTGAGGATATTAAAAAAATCTTCCACTCAGCAGTGTTGCTTTGAACTGTGTGCAGAACTGGAGCACATGCAAGGGAGACAGACAGCTGCAGAAAAGTAAACCCAAAATTGGTGTATCACAAGCATGGAATGTATAAGCAGCTATGTACTAGGGTGATACCTCTCTTCAGTGAGGCATACAGCACGTGAATGGTGTGAAAAAGCTTATAGGAGCTACAAAGGTTTATTCAGACTGAAAAACAAACAAACAGCTGAAGAGCTTTCCTTGCCTTTGATGACGGTCCCTGCTACACAAGGCACTGTTTACCCAAGTCCTAATCCCATTCCCAATTGCTGTTCATCAACTATGAATAGACAATGTTGCATAAGGAGCAAAAAAAAAAAGAATTTTATGCAACAGCTTCAGAATCCATACGTTTCACAAAAGACTAAAGGGCTCTCACTATTTTTAAGTCGGATCTTCTTTTTAAGATCACACCGCGTTTAAACAAATCAGTTGTTTTAACCTTTGGTTTAACCTGTAGCTCTGAAACGCTCGCAAAGAGGCTGGATTTATTGATTTAGATAGGCCGCCGACTTGGATAGAGAATGACCGGCCTGCTCCGCGGGTCGTTTCAATGAACGTCCTGAGGCCGATAAATACTGGAACGTAAAAAAAGTGGTGAAGGCTTTTTTTTTGCGTGAAGCAACAGCTGATCAAAAGGAAGCTTAAGCCGTGTGAAAATGCAGCGTTAATAAGCTTCCTGTGTTGTTGCATTTTGCGTATTGCTCCACAAGACAAGACACCTCGTTTGTCCGATGGCTCAGGTAGCGATTTCTGTAACTGTTTATTCCATAACTATGCTCAAATACAGCGTCCTACAAGTAAATCGGTCTCGTTATCATTCTTATGATATGATTAATGACAGAAACATGCTTTGTTGGTGTTCTTTTCAACAATTTATTTGTCATAACATTGCAGGGCTTCAGATTAAGGAAAAAAAAGGGGGTTTAAATAAACTTTATTAAGGGCTCCTGCCTGGGGCGACCAAACAGGGGCTGGTTTTTTTCACACCTCGCTCCTCATTGGAGGCCTATCCCATTCCGCCCATCTGGCTTTGGAGTTGTGATTGACAGACACCTCCTGTTTAAAAAAGTACCCGGGTCTTCCAGGAAGAAAAAAAAAAGGTGGATGAGCTCAGGTGGTTTGTTTGGGAGCATTAAAGGCACTTTTTCTACAATCCAAAGCTGTTACAGCGAAGACCTTTTCCTTGAAATCCAGAAGGTGTGCCTAGTTACAATACTCAGATTGTGGTAAGACTTCCTAATTTATAGAATTATATACGTATTTTTAGGTTTATAACAAAACACCTTAAATTTCAACGCTATTTCGGACGCAGTACTGTGAAGGAGATATTTCGCAACGGGGAATCAAGCAACTTCTTGCGAAACCTCTATAGATTTCGCCTTTACTCTCAGAACTGATAGCTGAAATCCCTGCTGTCAATTGCTACTTTCCTAATCGGAATCGTCGCACCTGCGTTTTAAGCCCCCCCAAAACCCGCAGCTTTAAAACAAAAGGTGAGGTGACAACTTAAATAACGTTGACATTAGTTAAAAAGATCGTCTGACAGTTACTCTCCAAATGAAATATCTAACCCGCGATATAGTCCTTGGGGGGAGGGGGTAGACAGTGGGATGTTTTAAAGGAAATTTACAGTCATTTCCTCTGTGTGGTTTCGTTACAAATCAACAACATCCTGTTCTTTTGTGAGCCGCAGAGTCGCTTCCAGTTCCAGCTGCCTGCCTGAAATAGTTTTCAGAGCGATGCAGAATGATTTTGAAATGCTTAGGAAACGGGGGACCTCACGTAGAGATGACAGTACATCGCTGCAAAAGTGCATGTAAGGGAAGACAACTCTTTTGAAGGTAGAAGCGATTACCCTAGTTAAATTGCAATAATAGAAATGTAACGGTTTGCAATTAAGTTATAGACTAAATTGGACATGTGGTTTTTATTTGAAAGACAGCTTTGTCTGCTTTTAGAAGAAATAGTCTATTGCACCTGCATATAACTGTTTTGCCTCAATTGGGAACTAAAAATCTATGGCTTATCAAGTGCAGCAGGCTGAAAACGTGGTTTTCGTTAATGGCTCTGCTAAAATGACACGAGAGGTGTACAAGCCATTCGTCTTTCCTAATGTAAAGAGTTTATTTGACCTACTTAAGTTTAAAGAGGAGAGCAATTGGCTTCTAAGGAGTTTAAAGTCCATCCAAAACGCAAACTAGGAATTAATTCAATATTTTGTTTTCTTGCGAAATTCAGTCCAACTTTAAAACCAGCGAAACGGACAGGTTACACGCGTCTAGTGATTTGATGTTTCTAGATCATGTTATATAACAGCTCTGCAGTCCTGCATTGCGTTTGCCACTCTGGCAAAACCTAAACTGCTGCCTGTGAGGTAGGATTTGGTAGGCCGGTACGTTTAGTTTTGGAATATAATACTTTTTCATATCGATACAATCTTTGAAAATATTTCCATTGGGGGAAAAAAAACTCAAGCGGAAAAGCACGCGAACAAAATTCCAAATGAATGCACATACAGCGTTGTAGACATCTTGACATGATTCAATATGATAGCATGTATACAGAACACAATAACGCGCAAAAGCATGCTGATGTATTTAATTGTTTAATTTGGTTTAACAACGTCCTGAATACACCGCGTTCGTTTTCCGGAAATTAACGTACATTATCGGTCAAAAGGCTCCTGTGGGGTTGAATGAAAGGCTGAATACATAAATAAATAAGTAGCGTGGCGTGAGGTACATAGCCGCCCCATTCATGTAATCTGCTCTGACATTGCCCTTGTGAAGGAAAGATCCCAATCCTTCCATTCATGAAATCCGGATCCTCCCATTCATAAAAATTTAGCCCCCGCACTTGCGCGCTGAAACGCTATGCCCTCCCATTCACAAAAAATCTGAAAGCGCATCTGCGCAGTATGGCAATCACCCTCCCATTCATAAAAAAGCCATTTTCCCAAGCAGTTGCAACATCGTAGCAAAAAGCCCGAGTCCTCGCTGCACTGCAGGTCAAGTCGACTGCGATCGCGGGTTTCTCTTGGTGGTTTTAACTTGGACCGATAACTTTGGAATACATAGCAACCAAATAAGGGAATGCGTTGTTTTTTAACAAGTAAGTGTATTCTTAAATCTTTTGGTAATAATCGCGCTAGGGCTTAAAAGAGAGATGATAACTAACCTTATTTCAAAGTGCAGTATTGTAGGTAACATTTCAGATTCTTTCTAGTTTCTTGTATTCAATTAAATATCTATCGCCCGGCATTTGGAACAAGCTGTTCCTTATTTGCGCTTTATGTCAACATTTAACTATGGAATCTACCATTCCTAGAACTGTCTATACACGGATGAATGAACAAGCAGGTCGAAATGGGAAGCTCTGTTACATCTTTAATCATTTTACTTTCTCTTTATCAACCTCATTTTTTTTTGCGAGGTAAGATCCTGAGCGGTTTTTTTTTTACCCACAGAACCTGGCGTAGTCGACCATTTGCATGTTATTGGGGATAACATTACATTATTCTCATCTACAGTATTTATAGTCGTTTATGACGAAGCGTAAGTCAGGTGGAGCTGTCGTTTCTCTTGTGTTGAAATCCCAAATCGTATAAATAAGGAAAAAATACGTATCTTTTTATTGAATCCAACCTGTACGTCTGCTTGCTGACCTTTCTTTATGCTCTCTGAACAGCATGAGTCAAAATGCGGAATGCACAGAAAGCCACATTAAAGAGATACTCGTAATGTTTTTTAAATGAATACGAACTATTCTCTCTTCTATCTAGCTCTTTGTATAAAAAATTATAACCGTGAAAAATCTACGATTTTTTCCCCTCGACAAAAGGCGGCGAATTGAAGACTAATACTCTTTGCCCTACGTTTACGCTATCGCATGGAGTACATGTTATTGTCTACCATTTACATGTTTAATTTAAAGCTTTTATAAGAGTATAGCGCAAAGTGGTTATTAGTGTTTCAAAATGTATTTTTTTCCATAAGTTGTGCCACCGAGAATTTCTTTTCGAGGTTTAACAATATTTACTATTAAAACATCTACTGAGAAAGGATACGTTTTTGTAATTGAATAACAAAACACATTTTACGCAAATCTATACATTCCATAGGTTTATGGATATAATAGGACGATGATCAAGACTTAATATTGGCCTCTATTTCAGTCACCGGTTTGCTATTTAAATTGTCAGTTGAAACAAGTTTTAAATATTCACATAAAAATCTTCCAAAGTATAGCTTTTCTATATTCGCCACTAATTCAGAATTCTGCACTATTTAAGATTTATATTTGTATTGGTATAGACAAGCATGACCAAAAAATGCTAAATATAGCAATACAATTTTGCAGACGTGATGAAAACGCTTAATTTCGGTTTGATTAACTCTTTTCGATTTACTTTTGAAAAACACTTTTTGAAATTTCATATTATTTTCATCTTTTACATTTTTGCATATGACTAAACGGTGGAGTCCCGAGGTTTAAGACCAAAACAACGCAAAGATTCCATGAAAGGTTGTTGAGGACCCACTAGCACAAAATTGGGGTGTATAAACAAACAAAGCACTTTTTCCACTTCAGTTTCAGAGAGGCAGGAAGCCTCTTTAGGAAGATATGAGAATCGCATAAACGCTTAAGGTAGTTCAGGTACATCTGGATTGACAACCGCAATCGGTGACGGAAATAGCGTTGTCCTGGAACAATACTTCTTAGTTAAATCGTTCCAATTAAGACAGCAGCAGCAGCAGAAGAAAGATAGTTCCTTCATTCGGTCTGTGTCTGAAGATTCTTTTTAGGTAATGACTTACGGTAAGCCCTTTCCAGCACACATAATATAGCTTGACACATTTTAAACCGTTTTTAATTTATACACACTCTACTGCTAAACAGTCAGAACATTAAGCTAATAATTGTAATTTTTCATATACATATTTTTAACGCCATATTTTAAACAGAAAAACATGGCGTGTAATGTAAACGACCCATAATGCAAATATGCAGACTCTTGCGACTTTTTTTAATACGTTACCAATTTAACTTTTTTTTTTACAAAAAACACATTTATTTCTAAACCTTCTTTAGATAACGTAACTTACAACGTCTGTACGTGCTGTTTTTTAAAATTATCGTTGCCAATTGACTGAACAACGTAAGGGAGAGTACTTTTACATTTAATTAACCTTTTTATTAAAGACGAGGTTGAGGCCTGCGTCTGCGTTCTGAAACTAACAAAACTGAATTGGAAAAAGACCTCGATTTGCATTTCAGATCTTAAAATCTGCGAATGTCTGTACTACAAAGATATTTTCATGTCCTGTGAGAGTAAATTGTTTCTACACTGGCTTGCTCAATAGCGAAGTTTGACAACCGCCTGGTTTGGGTTCTGCATGTGTGACATGGCTTACTCTCTTGTTGCAGGCTCTGTAGATGCTGAGCGCTGTGCGTGATATATGAAGGTCTCAGAACAACAGATGGAGTCAAGGGTTCCACAGCACATCCCTGGAGTCTCCTCTTCCATTATGGTACAACCTTTGCTGGACAGCAGAGTCCCCTACGGGAGGCTACAGCATCCTTTGACCATTTTCCCTATCGACCAAATGAAGGCGACGCACATTAAGAACGATTACATCGACAGCCCGGCAGTGGTGGTGGAGCAGCCGACGAGTCAAAAGGGCCTGAGGGGGACCCATGAGTCTCTGCTGGTGGTCCACCAGCAGCAGCAGCAGCATCACCACCACCACCACCACCACCACCACCACCACCACCAGAGGTGCGATCCCCACGACATCACTCACCCCTGGATCTCCTTCGGCGGGCGCCCCAGCTCGGTCAGCAGCAGCAGCAGCACCTCGTCGGACCAGAGGCTGCTGGACCACGCCGCCCCGCCCCCCGTGGCGGACCACGCCGCCCCGCCCAGGTCTGTGAACGCTCAGCCCAAGTCTCTGGCCCCCCAGCCTCTGGACCTCAAGGCCCCTGCCCCGCCGGAGGCCGCGAAAAAGCATGCGCCCCTGTGCGAGGACTGTGGGAAGTGTAAGTGCACGGAATGCACCTTGCCCAGAACCCTGCCCTCCTGCTGGGTCTGCAACCAGGAGTACCTGTGCTCCGCTCAGAACCTCGTGGACTCGGCCACGTGCATGTGCCTTGTCAAGGGAATATTTTACCACTGCACCAACGACGACGACGACGAGGGCTCCTGCGCGGACCGGCCCTGCTCCTGCTCCCACTCCAACTGCTGTGCCCGCTGGTCCTTCATGGGGGCCTTGTCCCTGGTCCTGCCATGCTTGGCGTGTTACCTGCCAGCCGTGGGCTGCGCCAAACTCTCGCAGAAGTGCTACGACAGTGCCAGCCGGCCCGGCTGCCGCTGCAAACCCCCCGCGCTGGCCTGCAAGGCGGCCAAGGTGAAAGCCAGCAGCGGACAGGGGAATCCCTCCTGATGGAGCCCGGTGCCCTGTCCGGTGTGTTCGGCATCGGAGAATCCCTCACGCTTCCGCCTCTATAAAGACTTGTCTCCTTCCGCTGGATGGTAGCAAATATGGTACTTAAAGGGTTAAACTGTACGTTCTTATTATGCTAGAAGATTTAAAAAAAAAACCTTCAAGAGCTGTTGGCTTTAAAGGCCTACTTAAACGTACGTCTTTAACGTGTTACAAAGACCAACGCAAAAAAAAAAAAGCGAAAGGCACAAGTTATGTTTTTGAACACTTTCTGCATTTTTCAACTATTTATTACCCATCAACATGAGACCCGTCTCTGTAGCTTAAGGATATGATATATTAGTATGTTTTAAATAAGCCTGCAAAGTAACAAACCCACAGTAGCTGAAAAGAAGCCAGACTGTCTCGATTGAAATGGGGAGGGGGTTGGGGGTTGCACCTGCTGCCTGCAAGACTGTCCCGGAATTTGATTTAAAAACTTTGCTGGACTGCCCTCCTGCAGGTTCCCCAAGCAAACGCAGAATTAACAAAAGTCTTTGCTGGTGTGAATTGTGTGTGATTAGAAGTACTCAACACTGCCCGCATCTCCTCTTTATGACAATCTCTATATAATTTTAGATTGCCGACTCTGTAGAAACGCAATCTGTCCAGAGACCAATGTACCTGTCTTATGCATCAGCTGTAGGGTCCTGTGTATTTATAAGCTTGTGATAGATAATAAAAGGAAGAATCTAATGGGAGACTATTGTGCGTCATGATAAATAAAGCGCATATGTTATAGGGAGATAAATGCAGCTCATAACGGAGAGACAGGAGTCAGTTGAGTTTGAAAGAGTCCTTATTTTGGAGTATGGAGTCCTTCTGAAAACCTTCACAGATAAATTGCCTTTGTTGATTTCCCCTTAAGCCTAAACTTGTCATAAAGTGGAAAGCCAAATCCTGTTTATGGTTTTAATAGTGAAAAGACTCCTCAGGGATGATTTAATTTACTCGTCATTAGAAGAGTTTTTTTTTTACATGGCTTTCATAAAGGAGACAAGATAAATTCAATGGACTTGATTTACTAGGCTTTGCACCAGGAGAAGAGCTGGCTGCATTGTAGACGAATCAGACGTGCTCAAGAATCCGTTAAAATGTTACACTTTATTTTCTTTAATGAATTAAAAATCATCAATGGTTGCAATTTCCTAAGAAGAAAGAGAGAAGCATAGTAAATCTGCACCACTTTATTTAAATTGCTCATGTTACTTGCGCAACCTCTACAGATCAAGACAACTCTAATAACGAAAGCAAGCACAGTATTAAGAAACAAGAACATGATGTCTGTTTCACATTAGTCTAAATAAATTTCCATGTCTACCACATTGTTTCACTACCGACCAAATTGTAACCCCTGCTGCTGAACTGTATCCATTGTTTAAAGTTTTGCTGTAAATATCCTGTTTTTTTTTAGAAAGTCTGTTTTAGTGCCTATAGTATGTCAGGGTTCAAGCCAAAGGAGTATGTTGCTTTTCTTTTTACTTTAAGGGATATTTTAGTTTTTAAGGTGCACTTGGTAACTGATTTGATTTTAATTGCTCTTAAAGGTACGGTATCCTTATAGCAGAATGATCCTATTTGACATTAAGGGATACTGTCTCTCCATATGCCCATTTAATGGAGAACGTTTTACCCTGTACTGGCTCCTGCAGTTTGTACAGGCCAATGTTTGTATTTATACACCGAAGAAAGCGTGTCAAAATGAGAGAAAACCACTGTTCCATCTCTTGAATGTTTGAGGCATTAGTATTTCGGAGTGGCAGTGCTCCGTTTTGTAATTCATTTTTAAAGTATATGCCAAAATAGAAGCTAAACACCTCTAAAGAAATTGCAAAAGTTTTTCTTTTTTTTTTAAAGAAATGACCTATGCAGGTGGTGTTTTTTTGTATATAGTTCTAAAGACTTTTTTTTCAGTATGTTCCAAAACCTTTTAACATAGTAATTTTAATGTACTGTAAAATTGCATGGTACAATATAGTGAATATTAGGAAAGGTTGGTGAGCCTAAGAAAACAAGACCGCTCTTTCCATCTCTAACAGCACTTGATTTAAAAACGGTGCTGGGTAATAAAAATACCTCTTTGTTTATGCTATTCATGCCTCATTACCTTGGAAGAGGCATGTCTAATTCTTAGTTCCTTCCCACCTCCGAAACCTTATATTCACGGAAACTGCTAAACAAATACAATTTCAGCTTTCTTGGAACAACTGATTTCCATTTCTGTTTGGCCTCATTGTCACATTTTCCAGTGCTGCATGACAAATACCCCAGGCTTGATTGACAAAATACAGCTGCATTACATAAACATTTCAAATCTATAAAGCCCCAATCTGTGCCCCCCCCCAACACCCAGCAAGGCAGGGTCTATCAGATACAAATTCTCTTTTCAGTCAGATGGTCTGCATCTTCCACGTTTGTTTAAAAAATGGAACATCAGCCTCTTTCAAGTTCAATGAGCAATTCATAAGTCAAAAAGTCCCCAGATGATGAAATGATCAATTTTCCAGAGCAAATTCAAGATTAAAGCATGTTTTCTGAAAGTTGCAAAGAATATTGAATAAACTCACTAGAAGGCTTTGTGGCATTTGTGAAGCCGTCAGAACTGCATTACAAAGGTTGTTTGCCCATTCAAAAATACTTCCTTGCAACTGGCTTGTAAAATTCTGTCCTAGCAATGTAAATGTCGAGAGAAAAAGCTATACTATGTCTTGTACAGAAAAACTCACATATAAAAGTTTTCCTTTATAGATATTTATTTTGAAGTTCTATTTTATATAGTATTTATTTTAGATGCCTACTATTGTTTGTGAAGAAATGTTTTAAAAAGCTTATGTTGAAAAACAGAATGTACAATGAAATAAGAAAATATATATTATTAAATATGGTGTGTTGCGTATTTATTTTCAGTACAATGCAATAGAAACCCTAGACACTTTTTTTCTAGCTGAATATGGTTTGATTTTTGAAGTAAAAAAGATTATAACACTGGCGAATGTCAAGAACATAATATGTTATGTTTTTGACACTAGCCATTCATCTATATCAACAGATTCATGGACGTCATGAAAACATTTAATATACTTTTCTATAATTGTGGACCTCTTCATTACAAAACTATTACTGGTGAATCTCAATGGTTTCTAGCAGAGCATAACTAGTTCTGTTCACTTGAGTAGTTATAGATCTATAATGGTCTCTTAATCAACAATCCCTTCTTTCATAAAGAAGCAGGTTTTTGAGAAACCAACGAGTGGATTAAGTATTCCAACATCCATTGGCAAAAGCTTCTTTGTAATCATTTGGTTTACACAAAATGCAATGGACACCAACACAGTCATGACCAATCAAGCAAATTCATCAAATATCCCAGACTGCCCTTTCTTTCTCAAGAATGTCCACATATTTGAATTAGTCAACATTCATTTACCACATTGTCTGTTACATTAGGATTTCATAGACCTATATGTGTGAGCATTTTTGTGCACTTATTTGTCTGGCTAAATTACAGACAATCCTCAGCCCAGACTACAGACATCCCCACTTCTGAAAAAAAACTGTTTAGCTTGGATATAGTGCCTAGATTAGAATGGCCCTGCTCCAGGAGCAACTCCAATAGTATGGTTTGACCTTGAGGACTGGTACTTGTGCAAATATAACCAGACCTTGGCAATGTACTAAGAAACATACTATGTGTTTAGGAGAGAACCATTCCTGGTAATGTGTAGTCTGTCAGCATTCAGAAGAGGTGCAGGACACCTCAGATAGCCGTGACAAAGATTCACTTTGTGTTAAGTGAAACCAGTTATTGATCAAAATCAAAATAATTCTGCAGTTTTGCCCCCCCCCCATATGATATTTATTTTAGCTTGTTTTAGGCCGGGGGGGGGAGGGGTCTAGGAATCTAGCAAACTCAGCTTCAGTGGGGAGAAAGGAGAGTATCATTAGTCTGTGCAGATCAAGTTTTCTGTGCCAGTAACATGTTCAGTAGTTGCTACGTTTATTTCCACCAGACTGTGTGATCTTTCTCAATTAAATCATATCCCAATATGATTTTTATGAGCTGGAGGTGGAAGCAGGAAACTTTCTGGTTATGAAAATTATACTTAATGATGTTTATATAGATATATGCCTTCTCAGTTTAGGCAACTTTGTTCATACACCAAAAAATGGAAACCCCCACACTCCAGCCAAATGCAGAAAAAGGCCTTGACCTAATATTTTTTGCAGAAAAAAAAAAGAAATTGTAAGGTCTGCACAATTATTTACACATTCCTTTCCAAATGTTTGCCGCAAAATACAACTCAAGTCATTAATCACACAACAGCCTGTAATCTCCTCTGCTTTTTGACTTCGTCCTATTCTGACTATTCAAAGCAAACCAGATACACACTAACACCATATTGAGCATGCTGGTGCTGCAGGTATGACTTTGAACTTCATTCATCTCCACTTCTGTTATGAAATAAAAATATGTGAAAGTGAGCTGTGATGCAGGTGTTGTTTTGCCGTGTGAGATAAATAGGGTCAGGAGGTGTGCGGGTGGTCAGGGGGTGGGTGGTGGTGGGGTAGAGGGTTTTATGTCTTTTTTCCCTTTCTAAATAAAATTCCACTTGTCTTGAACAGCTTTAGTCTCTGTTGTACCTGGCAGGAACACAACCCTCAACCTTCCTTGCCCCACCTGTGCGTGTTGCCCTGAGGCACATAGTGATTGTGAATCCATCTGTGACTGCTAAGAAGCAGATGATTGAGCAGGTTAGCTCATTTCCTAACATTATTAGAACATGCTTCCAGCACTGAGTTTGTGGCTCAGTTTTCTTTAATGCAGGTGAGATCTGAAGAGCTGCCTGCCTTTCAGTTGTATGATCTATAAGAGGAGCCTTAGACGGCGTTTTTGTCAGCCCTTCCTCACTTTTTCAAAAAGCTGTATGAGCTTGACAATCACACTCAGGGATACACTAGGAAATGGGGCACGCACACAAACAAAGTTTATGATTGGGGGATGTTTGTTTTGGCTCTGGGAACTTTGAAACGCCCATAGGCTTGGCCAAAGCCTGTAAACGTTCTTTTTGTAAAGACACAAAACCTTCATAAAAATAAAAGTATGACAGAAATTCTGTGGAACAACTGACTCCTTTTATAGTGGTAGGATTTTCAAACTCTGCTATTCTAATGTTGTGGTAGGAAAGCGCTGTGGAGAGAAATTTTAGCTAAATAAAGTCTTGTTAGTGAAGACCAGAAATCTGGGCCTTTCCAATTCTACCTTGCAAACAGTTTGTTGACCTTGAACTAAACATTTGTTTTCCAGTATCGTGCATATCACCACAGTAAATGCATATATACGTAGAACATAATTTATCAAGAAGGAAAATAGATATCTGAGCCCAAGGGGTTCTGACCCATGTAACACACTATATATCTCCTTTGTGTTTGCATGATACACCAGTATTGTAAGTATTACAACATCTGGCAAAGTGTTCTACGTTGCAGTTGTTATATCTGAAGAAAGAAAATGACGAACATCTGGGAACTGGACAACTTGGAATCTGATTGTTTTGATGTCAAGAGGTAACTTTTGAACCAGTGCAAGATGCTGGTTCAAGGCCCAGTTTGTGCAAATTCTTCTGGAATGTAACAGCGACTTCAGCTTTGGGAATTACAGAGCCCTTTCCCATCACTTAATACACCACACTATATGTGCAAACCAAATGTGTCAAAAAAAACAGTGAAAAAAACAAGAATTTGTTAAGTAGCACAGCTACATTGGAATGGGTTGAAGGCTCCACAGGGCATCACAGGGCACTCTGAGTGCCCATATTTCCACACTGAATAAGGAACTACTGCTGAGCCTTTGCCAGTCATGATAAAAATCTGTGATGGAGCCAGGTTTTCTCA